TTTTTTCCCAGAGGGGTGACATTCTTGTCCGATTTTGTTGCTGGCAATGGCCATCTACTACAGAAGCCCGTGCCAAAAAGGCAAACAACGCCAGCTTTTGCCTCACTGAAGGCTGAGACAGCCGTGGACTGTGCGGAGAAAGGTGAAAATGACAGGCCCAGCATTGTGCAGTAATCGGAGGTATCATTAAAGACCTTGAAGGTTAGCAGCCACAGCAGGTTTGGTCATTCAAGACATCTGACTTGATGAGATGTTCGCAGGTTGGCTCACGAGCTTCGCATAGGCCCAACGCCAACACTTCTGCAGAGCGGTCATTATGATATTGCTGCATTGACCATCAAATCTCTTTTCTTCCGATCAGCAGCTTTCCAGTTTTGTTGCCCTAATTGCTGCGACTGCTCGTATTTCTTGTCGCTCTTGTTTTGACGTTGTCTTTGATTTTACAAGTTCTATTGTCTTGATATCTTATATCTGTGTTGCTGTTATCTTGGATCCCATCACACTGCTCCAGGAACATGTGCGACCCTGCGGTCCACGCTGGGTCCTCAGATTGAGTGTTTCAAAAAGATTCAAGAAGTGCATTATACTGTGTTTGACACAGGATGTTGTTTGATAAACAAACATATTTCTTATTGACTTGTTTGGGCCAGGGGCTTTTCTTTTTTGTGTAAATCGGACTTTGACATCAAACGACAACATAGCCCATGATGAGTACAACTGATCAGATATGCGTTGCAACCCAAGAATTGTGGGACCCGTAATTATTGCAGTGGAATGCTCCTTGACCCAGGAATATATCGAGCTATCTGTACAATATCGGATTGACAGACACATGCGAATATAGTAATTTGAAAAGAGTGACGAACTCGGTCTGTGGTTTTACATGTTCAGCGAAGCGAGCTATGCGCGGGCCATGCCAAGTGACCTGCGCGAACTGGTCCAATTGGCCTTAGACGGCGCTTGCCAGATTCTCCCCGGGATTTTGATATGTTTGCCACCAGAAGGCTGCTAAATGATAGTAGCGATACAGATTTGCCTTAGAGTTCCGACATCTCCAACGTTTCTCCCCTTGTCCATATCTTTTCACATTTGTCGGGTTTTTCAAAGGCTCAAGGGCAAGACGCTCCATGGGGCAGGGGACCCCACAACCCCGTGCTGGATGTGGCAGCCATTCTACTGCACTTCTGAATGGCGGCTGTGGTCATGGTGTGGAATCCTGCTGATAGGTGTAGGAACCTGGTACCAAGTCCATCTGCAAGTACTGATGAACTCGTGGTTTGGAGATTTCTATGACTTGTTGCAAAAGGCTCTTGCAAAAGACCGCAAGGTGTCCCGTGACGAAGTGTCTTCATTCATCATGGCTTTCGCACGGATTGCTACAGTCTACGTTGTCGTGGCTGTACTCTTGGGCTTCTTCACTAAGCACTGGACCTTTCGTTGGCGCCAAGCGATGAACGATCACTATACGAAGAACTGGCAGCTGTTGCGGCGCATTGAAGGGGCGAGTCAGAGGGTTCAAGAAGATACTCGTCGCTTTGCTGTTATGCTTGAAAACATTGGCGCATCGATGCTTCAATCAGTGCTAACACTGGTGGCTTTTTTGCCCATTCTTCTGGAGTTGTCAACCGACATTCATGAGCTGCCTCTGATTGGAGAAACTTCAAATGCGATGGTCTCTCCGCAGCATTTCATGCAAAAACTGTTCTGGTCACGATCAAGTACTTGTTCCTTTGGACATGAAGCCACCTCTACAAGGCTAGCATTGAGATAGCTATTGGTACCTTTGAGTAATATTGCATTTCTATCTTGATAATTTGTTAATATTTCCGTGTGTGGATATGGCTCAAAATGATTCCCCGAAATAGATGAACTCTAAATTTCACCTGCCTTATGTGGTTCATGGCTAGTGCCTCATGGCTTGGTACAACCATCATGTGATTTGCTGAATGATCTTTCTCACTACTAGCAGCAAGAAGCTACTAGGGCTCCTGGCATCATTGGTTGCAGGTGAAAGCCACCATTCTCTGGGCCCTCCTGGGCACCGTGGGCTTGGCTGTGGTTGGCATACGGCTGCCTGGCCTGGAGTTTGACAATCAGCAGGTGGAAGCGGCCTTCCGCAAGGACCCCTTGGTGTGAAGGTCAGTTGAGTAAGATTGCGACGGGTCAATGATGCATCACAGGTGTACCAGCAATCAAAGCAATGGATCACAACAATGATCGTTGTTGCATTGTTGTTCTATAATTGTTAATGATGATCAATTAGTGGTTGACTCATTTTCTTTTGTGGTCAATGATACGCAATGATTAGTGATCATAAATGTTGATGTCATGATGATGTCCTAAAATAGGTTCCCCCATTACCTACCAGTCATGATCTTTTTATATAGTAAAACATGTAAAACCACTGGTTTGGGTACCCCTATTTACTGTAAAGACAAAGCCAGATATGATCAAATACGTGTTCAATCGTGTTCATGTGTTTCTCGATTTGCTTAAACCATCGGAACATCGACACTTGATCGACAAACTAGTCATGCTTGTGTAGAGTCAGTCGATTTGTGGGGGCTGCGGGGTTAAGTCGTTTGGTCTTGTAGTAAGTCATTTGGAAGACGCATGGCCTTCCAGGATTTGTGCTTCGATATACTTTTTGAACTTTGCATCTCTGCAACATGTAGATAAAACTATAACCGTTGTTGTTTTTCGTCGCGTGCGCAGGCAGTGTCTTGAGGCATGTGCCAGGCACTGCATGTTAGCATGAGGCACACTCTGCCGTTGGTGAGCGGAGAAGCCAGAAGAAAGGCAAGCCTGATCCAACGTTTGAAACGAATATATGTAGTACATCGCGTGGCCCGTGGTGTTTCACTCCCAGACAAGGGTGACTGTCCACGACTGTCGCGTGCGCATGCGGCCGGGTGACTTTCTGTTGACCCCGATGGACCAAGATCGAGGTTCGGTAGCGCCCCAAGATAGGCTCTCTGAGAAACCTCAAAATCATTTCCTAGAGACGACATTCAAAGCGACTGGCACGCTCGTGACACCGGATACACTCGTGACACCGACGAACACCCTTCTGCGGTCGAGGTCAGAATGCACCCCAGCCCCATATGGACCCGCGCGCGCCATGTGCGCCCCACCGTCAATCGCGCGCGTCTTCTTGGGGCCGCGTGCGGGACTGCACCACACAATGGTCCATGCCTGAACCCAAAGGGGTGAGGGCGGAGTCGAACCCCAGGCCAATGGGCAACGCTCTTCCAGGGAAGAAAGTCTTGACGGCCAGCAACGAATCTAGAATTTAAGTGACATCAATTGTTTGGCAGATTGTTGGAAATGTGACAGATTGTTGGAAATGTGACAGGCGACCGACATCGCCCGGCGCTTACCGGAGCTTGTCCCTCTCAGGAACATGCCGGACCGCTCCGCTCACACTCACGTTCATCGTCCTAATTAGACTGGTGTCGGCGGATTTTCTTTATGGAATCCATGTCGACATGATATTTTCCGGACCCTCAACCCGCAGCGCTTTTGGTCAAGATGTTGCACTCGCCGCATTTCTGAAAGAAGCTTTGGAGGAGCTGGTGTATGGCGAGGACGACGAACACCGTGCAGAGTCTCAGGTAGTGAGAGGTCTCTTTGAGGCGGTGCGCAGGAGTTATTTCCGCCTCTACTTCAACTTCATGTACTTTGATGTTGCCAAGCCCCTTGACCTCATACTTCAGAGCTCAACTCAAAAGGTGACTGAATACGGTCACTGAAATAGAAGCTCCAAGCTCAATAAGCTGAGTTCATTTGCACTTTGTAGTCGATTGCCTAAATTTGCCACTACAGCTTGGTCTCAGAGCAGTTCCAAGTCGTAGCTCCTGGAGGTTTGGGCTTTGGACTTATTTGGACTGTGGCCATGTCACTATGTCCATGTGACTCACTGACCTGACCGACCCATGTCACTATGTTCATGTGAGGTTTTCATATTTGCACTTTGGCTACCTCGTGCCCTACATCATTCTGGCGCCAAACATCTCTGAAGGTAAAATAACCCTTGGGCATTTGCAACGATTGGTTTTGGCCTTTGGCAGCGTTGAAAGATCCTTTCAATTTTTGGTGCGAAACTGGGCGCAGATCCTCGTGGCAGCAGAGCGGAGTTTTTTGGGGGGTTGTTAGGATGATTTCATAGGTTTTTGCGACGGATGTGGAATTTGTTGTGCAAATTGTGTTTGTGTTTCGTGATTTTTGAGACGCATTCTGAGGATAGTAGATCTTCTCTCTGTCGCTTGGTTAGGAAGGACCCTTTTCTCCATTTGACCCTGAAATTGAAGAAAGCAAAGGAACGGAAGAAAGGATTCAGTGAGCAAAGGAGGAATAGAATGAAGATGAATGAAGGTGTGTTCCTTTTCAAGGAGTTTGTTTGATGTCTTGGAGGTTTCCCGTTGAGTCGTGGAAGTTCGTATGACAAACTGGTGACTTGTATCTCGACTCTGCTGTCAACTTGAGGTCTACAAAAGGCTGCGCCACTTCAATCAAAGCCTGGAGGCTGGGAGAGTTCGCCATTTTGATCCGATTGGTCTGCGCAAAAGCACACCAGTCCGTCCTGGGAATCATCATATGTTTGGTGGTTTGGTCGAGTTGTTTGTTCTTCGACCCATTGACCAAACGATTTGATCATCAGGAAAATGGTGACTGGAGCAGGCATTCTGGACAGTATATCTATCACTATGATGAGACCTGTTTGCAAAGACCAGCCGCCAGAAAAAAAGCAGAATGACGGAGCGCCGAATTCGCATGGCAAGAGCCGAATTGTTTCAGCATTGATGTGTAATTTGTTTGTTGGATTTTTGTTTGTTTTCATAATGCGTTTTCGTATTTGTTTCGTGTGTTTATTCTGCGGCTGAGCTGAGGGGCAACGAGATGCCGAAGAGACCGAACCCACGTTTCTCGGATCGAAGGTTGCAAAACAATTTCTTTTTTGCACATTCCAAGCATGAAAAACATGTTTCGATTACTTCGATAGGCTTAATGAAAAACAAATGTCTTGGGTTTAGCTTGCCTACTTGTAGGTTTATGCCACTCACGTGTTTGACCATGACTGCAGCTCATCAGGGCGGCTGGTGCGATTTTGTTTGTCGCATTTTCGCCCAGCGCGACAGCTGCTGCTTGAGCCTAGGGTAGAGAGCCCACGTGTCATCGAATTGTGGTCATCTGATTCTGAGGAAGAGCCGCTGGACAGTGACCTGGAAACCGAACTGGGACCACCACCAATTGATCCACACGTTTAGGTGCTGCCGGTTGCGAGGAGGTCCTACTTTGGAAGAGAGGGCTTGTTGCCGCCCACAGACGGCAGAGAGATCAGGTGGTACGCCATTGGGCACATTCCTGGAATCCAAAGGTGGCGCATTGCTGGTATTCATTGGGGTGTAGAGAACCTGGCTTACAGTGCCATCCTCCACTTGCACGGAGGCGAGTTCAGAAGAATCAGATTTAGGAGATTTAACATCAGGGCCGAAGCCTCAGCAGCCTTTGCTGAAGAGGCCCGCAACTGGGATCTCTCGCCAAGACTAGGCGAACGCATTTTCGGTTGGACCTTCACCCATGACCTTGAAGCCAGGGAGTAAAGGAGTCCTTGATGGCCAAGATGGCGCGCAGCTCTTGTGGTTGGGATTAGCTCCGGCAAGGTGCTCAAAGAAGGGGTTGGAGCTCACTGCACTGTCAAGCATGGAAAAGGAAGATCAACCATTTTGTCTGGTCGAAGCAATTGCCTCATCAGCTGCTGAGCGGTGTGAACGAAGAAGTGACGATGCCCCTAGGAGCATCAGCTCAGGACTTGCTCAGGCTAGGTCTTCAGGCTCTGATGACTTCAGACGAGGATCTGAACTATGCAACAGCATCAGACCCAGCAGACCATCGTGCTCAGCTTGCAGGAAAGCAAGGGCAGCAGACTCGGGCGAGGAGCTCGAGGATCTGACAACTCAGCTCAAAAAGAACTGGCTAGGATCTGGTACTGCAGACGAAAAAGCTCAAAAGCTTCAGGACAGAGCCTCTTCTTCAAAGCATCGGTCAAGGCGCTTTGCTCTGATCGAAAGGAAGAAGGCATCGAAGTCAGGCGGGGCTCCAAGTCGCCAAGGACAAGATGCTATGATTCAAGCCGCGATGCAAACTGGGGCCCAATCCAAGGCCTCTTGGCCCTTCAGCTTGCGCAGTCTCTCAAGAAAGAATGCAAGAGCAGGAGGAACAGAAGCAGTTCAAGGAGCCGAGATCGAGACAGCTCTTCAAACAGCAGCAGCGGCAAGTCAGCAGAAGTCTGGCAAGAAGATGTTTCGCCATCCTGTGAAGTACATCCGGAGGTTTGTCAAGTCGGTCGAAGAGGAGCTGGGCGCCCAAGACAAACCATTTCGATGGGCCCTCCCGTCGTAAATTATTCCAGGGTAGGGTCACCGCCAGGAATATTTTTCTAGAAACTTTTTCAGGAACCACCATGTTGAAGTTGGGGTGGGTGGGTGGTACCCTGGAAAAATAAGGAAAATAAGGTCGGAATTGACTTGCTCCACCATGTTCCCCTGTTGGGGTGGGTGGGTGGGACCCTGGAACAATATGGTCGGAATGGACTTTCAAGGCGTGATAAAGGAATGATGTCATAACTTCAAAAAGCCACATCACATGCTCGCATTTGCAGCTGGCTCAAAATCCAAAAACGATCGCAATCGTGGGGGGACAGGAAAGGTGTCACAAGGATCCTTATGACGCCTTTCGTTCTTAAACCTTCAACCTCTCTTGCCAGAAAAGAGAGCTGTCAGATCTGTGGAACTGCGAAAAAGTGGCTGGCTCCCCATTGCGTAGGGGTGATCACATCAAAGCCGCCCTAGACTTAAATCTAGAAGCCTGTGACCTCCAGGACGGCGAGTTCACGCCAGAAGCCAGACCCAGAAACCAAACTTGGGAACTGTCAGATCAGGGCTCCTAGGTCATAGGCGCCCCAGCCACATCTTTCTTGTGGACTCTGAAGCTGTGAGACGTGTGACCTGAAGCTGTAGATTGTGTAAGATATGTGCCCCAAAATGGGAAGTTTGTCTCCTGTTGTATGTCTCTGCTCAGTAGACAGCTGATTGCTAAACTATTCCAGGGTCTATCACATCAAACCCACCCTGGAATATTTTTAGTCAAGCAAAGAAACCACACCAAATTCGGCACCAAAATTTTGAACTCGTCTCACCAAAACTCGAGAGTAGACCCGAGCTTTTTTTTTCGTTGGTGGCTCTCATTGCTTGCTGTGTGGACTGAAATAACTCCAGGGGTGGGTTTGATGTGATAGACCCTGGAATATTTTAGCAGTTGGCTCTCTACTGAACAGTGGCCTACAACAGGAGGCAAACTTCCCATTTTGGGGCACATATCTTGCACAACCTACAGCTTCAGGTCACACGTCTCACAGCTTCAGAGTCCACAAGAAAGATGTGGCTGGGGCGCCTATGACCTAGGAGCCCTGATCTGACAGTTCCCAAGTTTGGTTTCTGGGTCTGGCTTCTGGCGTGAACTCGCCGTCCTGGAAGTCACAGGCTTCTAGATTTAAGTCTAGGGCGGCTTTGATGTGATCACCCCTATGCAAGGGGTGTTTTTCACAGTTCCACATCTGACACCTCTCTAGTTTTCGGAGTCCTCAACAAAGATTTGGTTAGGTCGCCTATGACCTGGCAGCCCTGATGTGACGCTTCCTGCTCTGTGTCTGCTCCCAAGTTTGGTTTCTGGGTCTGGCTTCTGGCGTGGGCTCGCCGTCCTGGAAGTCACGTGGGGGTTGCTGATCTGAAAAATTCAGCCGCGAATCAAAACGCAGAAGATCACTGTAGTGAAACTGAACCTGTGTTTTGGAACGCGTGTAAGATCACTTATAGACTGCAAGGCAGACATGGCTGTAAAATGCTGTAAATTATTCCTGAAAGGTGTTCACATATGGAATAATTTTTGGCCAGGTGTAGGTCCACCACCCCTGAATAATAAAAATCTGGGGCCCCATCCACCCTGGGGCCCAGATGGGAGGCCTCATCCATTTCGTCTGACAGTCTACACCAGACGAAGCCACTTTGGGCGCCAGAAGAATCTCCAAAGAGTTCTACCTTCTGCAACATCTGCTGAGGGAAGAGCCCGAACGGGCAGCGTTGCAAACCGTTCTGACACTGCAAGCCGTTCACCAGGCGAGTGGGAAGTTGCGTGGCTCCTCACGCACGTTGAAGATCCCTTAAAGCGAAAGCTGTTCGGGGCCCGGGGGAGATCCCGACAACCTGCAACACGTGACATCCTATCTTCGCAGCATGAACGAGTTAGCAAAGGCCACAGAGAGTCTCAGAAGGAAAGGCCGTGGGAAAGGCGAAAACGACGAAGAAGAGAACAAATTGAAAGGCCGAAAGAAAGGCAAGGGGAAAGACTGGGACAGAGACAAGAACCAGACCAAGCCTTGAGTTCCCCTAGCGGACCCGCGGATGAGTCAGGGGCCGCAACAGACGGTCGCAGCATTTTGCCAGCCGCCAGCCTTAGACGATTTCGAAAGTAGCTGGGGCTCTCCTGATGGTTTTTGGAAACTTTTGAAGTCCTCCGATTTAAGCCGGAGGTTGGGGCCAGTGCGTTGGTAAGTCTCAGGCCCTCGTAGGAGGGCTAGGAGGCGAGGCCGGGATGAGACATGGCGCTATGTAGAAATGGCTTGGGCTTATTTCACTTTCCTTGATGGAGGTGGCCCGTGTTCGTCCATAGCGCAGCAACGTCTCCTGTCCAGGGCAGCCTGCAACACTTGGACGTCGTTGCGCTCGACATATGCCGGCTCAGGGCCGGCTCATTGCACGATGAAATTCACAGGTTTGGCCGCTTTTAAGTAGATCAGTCTTCTTTAAGCCGCGGCATTCTAAAATTAAGTGAATCAGTAAAGACAGTCCGGAATTCAGATTACACCAGCAACAAGGCCATGGATAAGCTTTCAAGGGTAGCCAAGAACGTGAAGCGGGAAAGGATGTCCCTTCCTGAAACAGCTGGCGTCGTTGAACCACGTCGGCTCTTGAAAGGCCAGCGCCTCGAAGCCTTCAATAGCACGGCCACGACAGTTCCTCTGGACACCGAGCCTGTGTTCCCGACTCTTGGATACTACAAGGTTGAACCACATGACATGGAAGCTGTTAACAAAAACTGTTACACAGCGGGGTGGCGACTTTATTTCCAGAGGAGTTAGGATTGAAAGACAGCGCAGGGCGGACCATCACCGGGGGCTTTTCGCGGCTGATCATAAAGCCACCAGCGATAGGATCATCCTTGATAGGAGGCCATTCAATGAACTTGAAAGAAGACTCGTGCGGGCCAAGCTCCAAATGGCTCGCTACTGACTCAACTTATAGTTCCCAAGGGTTTTTCAATCAGGCGCAGTGGAGACGACTTACTTCTACTTGCTGAAACATCAAGATGAGTGGCTATGAAGCGTTTGATGGTGAGGGTTATGAAGCCTGTGGTGGTGAGAAGGGTAAAACATACCTACTATCATTCAAGGTCATTGCCATGGGCGACTTGAACGCGGTAGACATCGTTCAACAGGTTCACGTAGAAATCCTAAAAGATTACGCTTGCATGAATCCAAGTGAGTGTGTCGAGTTTCGCGAGCCACAGCCCGCTTCACACACCATGGAACGGTTATACATTGATGATCACATCGTCGCCCAGATTTTGCCTGCCAAAAAATTTAGGCCTAAGAGCAACAAGGTCAGAGATGTAGAACTAATCACCAGTATGCCAAGCAAG